AAAACACATGTATTACTGTGAAATACCTACTATTATGAATATTTTACTTATTACGAAGTAAATGTCTTTCACTTTCCCTGTATCTCTTCTCCCTTTTCTTAATTTACCTACTCCATGGGTCATAAGTATCTGGCAGAGGCAAGAACTCTAGTAATGGTAGACTTGTAAGCAGATTTTAATATTGAGACTATCAAACTACCTGTAGTATATTAAAAGCTGTAGTATCTACCTCTTCTCTTTACAACCTAATCTAAACCACTCCTGAGCAGAATATACACATTAAGAAACAGGTGAGTACAAGTAATAGCAAGTAGCTCTAAGCATAAAGTTTGACATTAGAGTCAGCAATTAAAAGAGTAATGTAGTAAAGCAGGCAATAAATAATAAAGTAGAAAAATAAATGAGCAAAATCCCAGAAGAATTCCATTATATCATTCCAGCTATCATAATGTGATGTCTACTTTTAACATATGCTTTGTATTTATATGGTAAAATGGAAAACATTGTGTTTCAGACTCGTATATTGGTGACCCACAACTTAACGCTCCTGCCTGACACTGATCTTATAATAGTAATGGAAGAGGGCAGAATCAGTCAGATGGGGACCTACCAAGAACTCATTTCAAAGAGAGCTAATTTTGCTGAGCTGTTTCAAGTCTTCAATGCAGAGTGTACAAGTGAAGAGATGACCCCAATGGAAGGTGAGGAAATTTGTATACTATGTTTGCTTAGTATTTTTTCTTTTCATTCAAGCTTCTCAAAATATTACTCCTTCCCTTCCTGGAAATGAATAGAATAATTGCTGGAAAATGTAGGGCTTTCCTGCCTACATTTTGATATAGAATTATAGGTTATAAACCAAAAAAATTTCAGGCTTTAATGTCTTGAGATCAAACAGTTTACTTTTTCAACTAAGGAATGTATGATAAAGCTGCCTTATGCAGCTGTTTTCTACTTTTACATACTGTATTAATTCCTTGGTAAAGTCACCTGATTCTGCCAAGGATTTATCACCCAATAAATAACTTATGGACATTTCAAATTAATCTTCCAATGTCAATGATTATGTCCTGTCTTATATTGGATGCTTCCCATTTCCATCACCTTAGACTGCTGTAATCATGGAGGACAGTGGAAGGAGTAGGACAATATGGTCCATTTATAGGAGAAAAAAATAAATGAAACTTTTAGTACTCTTAAGAAATACTTCCAGCCAGCCAGTAGATAGCATAAACAAATACTGCATGGTACTTTAAAAAAAAAAATCATACAAATCACTTAAATGGATTGGGACTCAATTTACTTCTGTATCTGAGTTGTTCAATGTGTGCTCTTTATAGAGTTGTGGGAAAGAAATAGGTACATTGACAATGCAGTCTGTTTGAACTGTTTTCATCATGTACTTCAGGAGGAGATTAATTGTGGTTATTTAATTTTGAGAGAAGGAATTGCTCCACATGATGTAGAAGAGTCCGACAACAATTAAGTGACTGCAGTTGTCCTGGAGCCAGCACTCTCAAATATTTGCTGGGGTTTGACAGAGAGGAGTGGAAAGACAGAACATGAAATTTGCAAAAGGAAGCAGTGGGCAGTCTTGAGTTAGCTGTGTTGGAATGAAAGTGTGAGGCAGCTGTGTAAGGAAACATGTATTATTCATGAAGGGTAATAAAGAGAGGGAAGGAGAACCAATGCAATGAGGAGAAGAAACAGCATGCAGTGTGTTGTGATACAAAATTATACTCTAGAGGTACGTTCAGCAAGATGGATGGATGTAGAAAATATATCTTTGCCTTAACAGATCTGTTGACAGAAATACCATCAAATATGAAAAAGAAGAAAAAAATTCCATTCCTGGAAGAAAAAAGTGTTGACTTCTTTCAATAACACACAAAGAACAGCAAGCTCCATTTTCCAGCCATAATGCAAGAATACTTTGAAATAAACACTAATGTTAATATTTGCCAGGATACTAATACTTTCCCAAAGAGACTATGGGCTTATGGGGGAGATTTACCTGCTGTCACAGTTCTAGCATTTGGTCATAAATGTGTCTGTCTTGTGTAGTAGCTGTCCCAAGGTTAGGTCGACTTAAGGAGTTAATAATTTAAATTATCCCCATTCATCATTTTGTCCCTGTTTTTTATTTCTAGCTTCTTGTACTATACCTGTCTACTCATGGTATAACACTGAAAAGATTTTTCTATTTTTTTTCCGCTATAGTGAGCTCTTCAAAAGAAGAGGGCCAACTGGGCAGGAATCTGCAACAAAGAGAACTGCTGAAACATAAAGAGTAAGGTTTTGGTTTTTTTTAAATTAGCCATTGCTTAACTGATGCAATGCTGTAACAACCCTACGTGCTGAAGGCTGTGCCACTATGCTTCACTGTCTAAACATTGGTTAAGCCTGAATGCCCATTAACAGTTGGCTGGACAGCATGTATCTGGAGCTCATCTTCTGGTTTCACTTTATATTAAAGAAATCCAGTTAACGTGCTGCATGAGTTCAGGAGGTCCAGTTCATGGGCTGCTTCACTGTGTGAACCAAAGTACATTAAGCAAAAAAATCAGACAACCAACTGAAGTCGCTGATGTGGATGCACCCACAATTCCTTGGCAGCAGTTTGACTTCTTGGTGTATTAACAAGTTGTTCATGCTCTTTGTTTTTCCCCTGTGACATTGATTTGTCTTTTTCCACCTTTAAGAAAACTACTGGGCTTTCAAATAGTTGAATGACCTCCTAGATCAATTTGTAAAGCAGTGTAATATTATATTTGCAGTGGTAGAAGATAGTGCAAAGATGAAGTAAAAGGGACTCAAACTAGCAAGTTCAGACAATGCAGGACAGTTAAGCTTAACCATCCTGGTCCAGAAGTAGTAGAATTGGATGTGTCAGAGTGAGCCTTAATCATAGGCCCAGACAATGGCTGAGACCCAAGTTGCACCACACTCATATGCCCCAGAAAAGGTCAGTCTTGCATCTCTAGCTGATGCCTATGCAGGGCAAGCTCAGTTTTACCTAGACATAATTATACAAGAAATGAAAAGGATATACCTAGTGTTGTTTTCTGACCATAATGTTACTCTAACAACAAAAATAGAACAGCTGAGAACAGTTCGTGTTGCCACATGAAAAATTTACAAGATTTTATAGTATCCATTTTTTCTTAGGAATAAATGTATATATTCTTTGTATGATGATTCACAAGAAGATTTGAAAGTGTTTCTTGTTTGCAGTTCTTCCTTTGATCAATGGAAAATACTCACTAACAATAAAGAAAACGTGGCCACTGGTGGCGTAAGTATCCCTAATAGAAAAGGCTTTGACATTTGTTTTTATAAAAATGTATTGTTTTGCAGTTTTCTGTTTCTCTTTAAGGTTGCTTGACATCTCATTACTGAATTTAAAATAAATCTGACAGGTTTTTACCAAATTTTAAGTATGTAGTCTGAGATCTTCTATTTTGATGATTTGCTACTGGCTGTTTTCATATGACATCTAAGTCCAGTCTGTTTTGCATATTTCAGAAAGAAGAAGATTAAAAAAGCTTTTACCTCTGTTAGAAAAACACTCTCTCTGTCTTAACTTTAGGAAGTTTAAATACCTGTGTGCTGGAGCAGAGACTAGAAATTTTGCATGGTAATACTGCTGCAGTATTGTTTTATGTTAGAAGCAGACTTTATGCAGTCTCCATTAAAAAAATCTGCCAGTTGCTAGGGAAAGGGAAAAGAACAAGTGAAACAGAGTGTGGGGAAGGTCAACACTTCCTGGGAAGCTGTAGTTTAAATAAAATATGAACAGGGAGGTAGAAGGGGGAAGAAGATACGGCTTTCTAGCAAGATGGTAAAAAAAGATGCTTGAAAAAAATGAGTTTCCAGAAGAGACAGAAGAGTTTGTGCCAACTAGAGCTCATTTCACTCCAGACCCTGTAATGAGATCCAAGAATCTGTCATTATTCTGCTCCTACCGGTTCTACCTTTCAAGCGGCCTAGCTGAGTTTGGTCCCGTTAGTCCTCATCTACACCAAGGATAAAAGCTTTCTCCTGCTGACACTAATTTCCTTGTCTCCAGTAGCCCAGAGTGGCAGTTCTAAAGCTTCTAGTTCCATTGATGAATAGAGTAAGATTTGCTTCATAAAATCTGCCCAGGCATTGCACTCTTGTTTGGTTGATTGGTTGGGTTTTTGTTTTGTTTTGGTTTTGTTTGTTTGTTTTGTATAATCTGCATATGTAAGATTTTTTTAAGTCTGACACTGGAAAGTGTCACAAGCAAGATTGCCTATAATATGTATCATTAAGGAGCAGAGTATAGTGGGAGAGGAAACCTTTTTACAGTATGATTTTATATACCTAATTTATTAGATTTAATTAAGAAGATCTTTAGATTTATTCTGAATGTAATGTATCCAATTCCCATTATATAATGTGTATTTGCCTTCAATAATGACAATGATTTTAAGAGTAACTCCTTTTTTTAATATATTCTTTTTGAAAATATATTTAGATGAAAATGTCAGTGGTTTTGAAATACCTCCAAGCCTTCGACTGGCGATGGATGTGGCTAACCATAGCTGCTTATGTAGGACAAAATGCACTAGCCATTGGGCAAAATCTATGGCTTAGCACCTGGACTGCAGAAACAGCAGAAGTTAGTGATTTCACAGAATGGAAACAATCACAAAACTATAAACTTCGTATCTATGGGCTTCTGGGATTCACACAAGGCAAGGATGAGCATTTATGACTCTTTTCTCACCATTTGCCAAGGCTGATCTGCCTGAATGTGTACTAGTAAAGAAATAATGGTGGTTGTTTCATAAACAGATTTGTATGCAATATGGTATAATAGTTTAACCTGAAAGAGAGGAGAAGAGATATATAGACATGTAGAAGAAAATGCTATTTAATTTTATGACACTTCTGTGGATTCTTGGAACATCCAAGTGTAACCTAATGAAGTTATGTTGGCATCTCAATGAGGAAGGAAATCAGTGTTAATGTGTAGTGGCATGCTAGCATGAGACTTAATTGCAGGAAAAACATACTTATGAAGTAGTAAGATGTATCAACAAAATACAAATATGTACATTTGTAAAACTAAGATATGAAGTGCGACTGTTGGATTGCTCACTGCGATAGAAAACAGTGACAGAAACAAGCTCCATCTTCTTTCCCTCCCCAGCCGTTCATACTATCTTTTAATTTATCCATTCACAAGGTCTTCTTGTTTGCTGCGGTGCTTATGTGCTCACCAGGGGATCCATGTCTGCTTCTCGGGCATTGCATCATCAGCTGTTAGACAATGTATTGCACCTTCCTCTTCAGCGTTTTGAAACTAATCCAGTTGGTCAGATCATCAATAGATTCACAAAGGTAAACGGAAAACTCATGCGTATTTTCTATTTTATGAAAATGAAGCTCAGTGACACTACAGATTTAATTCCATTTAGCATTGTTGAAAATTTAAAGATCTCAAAGTAAGTGAATGCAGTATCTAGTAATAGAAAGCTGTTTGGTGCATAAAAACTTAAAGAACTGTCTCAAGCTATTTTCTTACAAAATCATCAAAACATGGTATTAGTAGAAGTTGTATAGCCCCTATCCCAGATCATTAGGAGGCTATTCCTCAAAGACCATTCCTTCAGTGCAGTGAGTTTACCAGACCTAAACCTGATCTGTTTTTAAAAAAGAAAATATCTTTTTCTTCGATAGTATATTGCATATCAGAATCATAAGTTATTGTCAAAACCAATTAATAAATAAATTCACATTCTCAGAGGTATATAGACTTAAAGTGAATGTTATTTTCTGTTTTTGTAGTGTTTTGGCTTTAATTGGAACCTCTAATACACAAACAAGTGTTATTTACCATGACTTTAATACTTCCCACTTTCATCGTAACTAGATAGTTGCAACGCATTACCGATTACTTCGAATATAGTGACTTTTGATGGCGATGTTCTCTAGAATAGACCCAGTAGTGGTTGTGTAATACATTAAAAGATCAATTGATTTATGTTTCACTGAAGCCTCTAGTCTTTGGTAGCAATATATAATAAACTGGGTTTGAAAAAGTTTTACTATGTACAGTGACAGATTTGTAATATTTCAGTACACTGCTAGAATTATTAGCAGGAGTATACAAGAGTTAGGATTTGAATTCCTGGCCTCCTTTTCAGTCTGATATGCTTTATGTAAGCTAAATGGTATTGAGTAGCAAAATAGCAAGAGCTGTCTCTTTTTGACTTCACACACTGAGCATGTTCTCTGACATACCATGAGTAGTCTAAAAGCTATTATGTCTATTTCACTTTTAGACAAATAATAATGATATATGAATACATTTAATTAGGATATATCAGAGGGTATCCTACTCATTTTTATTGAAGATATTTTGGTTTGACTCCATTTTTAAAGGATACTTTCTTGAAGTTTTTAGTGGAATTTACTCACAAAAACTTGATTCTTCTGTGCATTGTTACAGGACTTATTTATAGTGGACTTACGTTTCCATTACTACTTACGAACTTGGCTAAATTGTACACTAGATGTTATTGGAACCATTCTAGTTATCGCATTTGCCTCACCACTATTCATAGTGGTAGTTATTCCCCTGGGATACTTTTATTTTACGATCCAAGTAAGTGCATTAAGTTTTTATAATGATTTCTAGATGTATGTGGATGAAATGTCCAAAACAATCAAGGATACAAGCTTAAATTATTCCTTATTTAAAAAAAAAAACAAACAACCCAAACCAAAAAGTAATGTTTCAGAAAGACTGAGGGCTGCCTTCCTGTTTCTTCTTGATGCTCAAAGTATGGTCTGTGATTAAAGACCTTAAAAGATTCTTAAAATAAGAATGTAGAGGAAGGAGAAGAGTGCCTGGATTCAGTCTCTGCTGAAGAATTTAAATACAGACATCATTACATTGAAGAAATAAAGTCTGACTTTCATCTGAGAAAGAAGCAGGACATTCTAATTTGAAAGTTTACAGAAGCTTTAGTTGGTTGTTACAGACCTTTTGTGGTATAGCACATTTTCTGTAGAATTTGGAAATAATGTTCTCTTATTTTAACCTTGCCAGTAATTTATATATTGCAGTTATGTCAGCATTACAATGTTGGTGTGTCCCAAGTGACATTTCTTTTTTCTATACTGTTTGTGAATAGCTTTTTTTCTGTATAGACACTTCCAACTTTTTCATATTCAAGATTTACAGGAATTACTTAACAGATTACTTAACTGGAAATAAATATAGCAAATATTTTAAACAATGTAAAAGAAACTGTAGCAACTTAAAATGTCTGTTTTGTCTGTACTGTTTTATTAGCGATACTACATAGCGAGTTCACGACAAATTCGACGACTAGCAGGAGCATCGCATTCTCCTGTGATCTCCCACTTCAGTGAGACTCTTGTAGGACGATCAACAATTCGAGCATTTGGGCACCAAGAGAGGTTCATTAGAAAAAGTAATGATGTTGTGTATGAGAACTTAGTTTACTTCTACAACAATGTCATCTCAAACAGGTACTTTACAGCAGTTCTGCATCTGTGACTGAGATCTTCTTCTGTAGAATTCCACAACTAAGTGTTTACCTTTAGTCAGAGTAAACCCACTGAGAAACAGAAGGACAAGAGCAATTTATCCGCCACGCTTTGTAATGAATGCATGCATTATGTCTAAGCACTAGGATAACTTCTTTTTTATGTACCAGAAACTTGCAGGTTTGTAGAAAACAGGCACATGCTGTCTGGGATAAGAATATTGAAAAAAAAAAAGTAGTTTACCAATAGATCATGAACATGGACCGTACTATATTTCAACTAACAGTTCCTCTTACAAGTTTATGAACAAATCGAATTTATATTTCAGTAGTGCATGTGGAAGTAACCTGGTGTCTGTACCTGCAGGCACCAGGTAGGTCTGGAGAGTGGAAGCTTGGGTTTGAGGAAATAAGTCCATTTCCTCTCCTTCCATTGTGATTCAGTTCAGTTACAGGCAGAGATTAGCAAGGAGAAGATTTTCAGTTCTGGTTTTCAGTGATGTACTTGAATCTTTTCTAGATAGGAAGAGTAGAAAAACAGTATGAGGAGTGAAGGGAGACTAGCCAGGAGTTGAGACCTGCATTTTGGTTTTAGCGGTGCTACTAGTTCTATATATGTCATATTCCCTCCCCAGTCCATCTGTAAAATGGGAATGATAGTACTTATCTCTTTTGTAAAGTGGGTAAATTGCTAATACAATGATCTCAAAGAGTCATTATATTAGCAATATGTTCACTATACTATAAAAAATTTTGTAGGTAATTCACTTTTTTCTTTGCCTTGATTTTCTACAGGTGGCTATCTGTCAGGCTTGAATTTCTGGGAAATTTAATGGTGTTCTTTGCTGCCCTGTTTGTAGTACTGGCTGGAAATACAGTGAGTTCTTCTACAGTGGGTTTATCGATATCCTATGCTCTAAATGTAAGTAATGGTATAAATTTTTTGCTGCTACCACATTGCACATGAAAAGGAAAGAATACATACAGTGAAGCTGAGCAGGTGAATATACACGATGGCATCAATGACACTAAATCCCATGGGCATGACAGAGTTTTCCTTTGAATTCCGTTAATTCTGGGAAGCTTCACATTAATTATTTTCCACTTCTGAATTTAGATGAAATAATAATTATTAAAACATATTTTAAAATCAAGTTAATGAAACTAGGTATGGATTATTTTTAAGTGTTTTGTTAAACCAAATAAGAAGCCTAGTCATGTACAAATATACTTCATGTTTGATTTCTTGTTCACTTACTGAGTGTTCTGTAGGAATGCTTACTTAAAAGTTTAATAAAATCTTTTACTTTGGCATTGTCGTTGTAAAAGTAATATGTTAGAGCTACATTTGAAATGTTCCTTGAAGTAAGGTAAACTGAATTGATAAGTTGCTAGTTAAAATCTTAAGTGTTATGTATACACACATTAAGCATCCAAGTTTCTTTAATTTTGTGATGCTTAGGAGTCTAGTGGTGTCCAGATTCTCACTGTGGTAAATGCTTCAGTAACACAGCTGACAGATACTAATGAACAGAAATACAAAAAAAATATATAGACAATTACCAGCCATGGCATATCCACATCGCCCCCAACTCACAGGAGTTCCATTTTCTATTATTCAGAGACAGAACAATCTCCTTGATATCATCATATACTTGGTGATGACAGTCACAGGTACTGCACAGTTTTTCACCTTCATCTGATGTCAGATTGACACCATTCTTTAATTAGTTACATACAGCATCTCAAAACAGTTGACTCTTAAGAATTCTTTTGGCTCACTTTTTTCCTATAGAAGTGCGAGTATTTAACCACAGGATTGGTACCATGGAAGTGATACCAATTCTGTTTGCAGAAGCATTCCCAATGCTTGAAGACAACAAACTTGGCAGACGTGGTAGACCAAATACCTATCTCCATTACAAATTCTTTGTTCTGTTTTGTTAGCTTACATTAGCTAGGGAATACTGCAATAATGTACCCACAATAGGAGCCAAATATGTTTTTCCTTTCAACATATCATACAATTACTGTGCACTGTCTGTTGATCCTGAAGTAGTTCCAGATTGCTGGAGTTGTTATGTTAGTGAAAATTACAATACAATTGGGCAGTCTGAAGGCAGACAAGAAGTACCTAGAGGAACACTGAAATCAGTGACTTTCTAAATGATAGTTCATTTGGTGTGCCATCATTTTCTGTACACTTTCTGGCTTCTGTGATGGAGCATCCAGGGTATGAGGTGATTAAATTCAGGATGAGTTTTGCAATCAGTATGCTGTATTCTAGTAGAGTCGAAATTTTATGTTCTATGATGCAACTATCTCCCCAGATAATTCAGAGTCTAAATTTTTGGGTGCGTAAAGCATGTGAGATTGAGACCAATGCAGTTTCCATTGAAAGAGTTTGTGAATATGCAAAAATGGATAAAGAGGTGAGCATTCTTTTTGCATATTTAATTTATGTGCATAGAAAATGACTAACTTAGATTGACTTTGATATTGGTGAGTGGTAATAGCAGGTTATAATTTGTTATTAAATACTGTCTCTTTTTTTTTTTTTTACATTAAGAATCGTATGTAGCTTCTTCATTACATTTGTAGTCATAGTTTTGTTCCTATTTTGACCAGTAAATTTCATGGCATCCTTCTTAACAATAGATTTTGTAGTAAGACTAATGCAGCTACAGCTCAGGTGAACTCTCTATGCTATGTACAACCAAGGGGAGTATTTTAAGAGAGGAAGAGAGGCCTCTCAGGCCCCTAGCTGTTATTCATGTCTGGAGAGATATTTGTTTCAAACCAAATTGCCTTGGTTATTTTGCTTTTCTGAAAATAGTGCCCATGTGGAGTATGAAGTCCCAAGAGCCTTGGTCTGTCTCAGAAACAAGACTCTCTTCTACTTCTTCATTCTCTTTTACCCTTCCCCCATGTTTATGTTTCTTAACCTTTGCTCACATCTATCTGTTCTCTCCAACTCAACTTAAAACAAAATGTTTCTCATAAAATATGCATTTTAAATATCTGGGAGATTAGGAATCAGATTAAATTCAGTTCCTGTCAATTGATGGAAAAAATACCAGATTATTAGCAACTACCCAGTTAACTGAGTTTACTTTTTTAAATGAGTGTAGAAGATATTGTTAAAAAAACCCACAACTCGAAACCCTTAAATAACCCAGTTGGAATGTTTCTGCGCAGTGTTCATGAAAGTAGGTTCTCCTTCCCTTCTATTGCATTGGAATTACCCTAAACCTGCTGGGATTTTTAGAGAGATATATAGTTTTCCTAATGTTTTTATTAACTTGTAACATTTTTACTGTCATATACTAAAATACTAATGGTTTTAATTCCAGGGACCGTGGATAATGTCAAAAAGACCACCAGTGGGGTGGCCTGATAGAGGAATAATAGAGTTTGTTAACTACAAGGCTCAGTACAGGAAGGATCTTGGTTTAGCCCTGAATGATGTCTCTTTTCAGACACAGAGTAAAGAGAAGGTACTGTATATAATAAGAAATAAATCAAAGGTATAAAATTCTGTTTCCCAACTTTCTACTTCAAAAAGATTTTATATGAGGAGACTCCAATACTAGATACAGCAAGATGAAGTTGAACAGGGAAGATGTTAAGTGGATAAGACATTAAAGAAAAGACAAATGAGAAAAGGAAAAGTGTTTTCTCCTCCTATGTAGAAATTCTTATCCCTGAAGGAAGCTGAGATAATGTTCTATGAATTTGGGAGTTTTAAGGAAGATCCAAATTTGAAATTAAACCTCTTGCCCACTGTGCTGAATATTTATGTAGAGAAATAAGCTGCCAGATTAGTGCTAATCAACTTTGGGTTTGGGATCAAGGAACACCAGGCAAGACCTAGTTTAGAGTCATTGGTTTGAGCTGAGGAGTGCTAGACAAAAGGGAGGGGCAACAGAAGGGGTTCCCACTGAACCGGGTATAGGCTGTACAGCTTCTGAGGGAGAGCTGTGATTGTGAGTCACATGTTCCAAAAGTGAGTTTGAAACAGTTTTGTCCACCTATAGGATTGCATGTTGGTGAAAGAAACTGAAGTTTTGAACTGAAAGCAGAAACTGAATTCACTCGTCATTTTTCATGTAGAATGTGTAGCGTGGAAAGTTACAGTCTTTATCAGAAAACTTTCTGTTTCAGGTTGGAATTGTTGGAAGAACAGGAGCTGGTAAATCAACACTCACAAATTGCTTGTTTAGAGTTCTAGAAGGATCTGAAGGCAAAATAATTATTGATGGAATTGATATATCAACTATTGGACTCCATGACCTACGTGGAAATCTTAACATTATTCCACAGGTGAGGTGCGTTTTAGAAATAACTATTTTTTTTTTTTTGACTTACACAAGACACTTCATTTTTTTTGGAGGAATTATAATCCCAAAGTCCACAGGCTACCAAGAGACAGAGGCATAAAACTGCAATAGAATTTTACTGATCTGTGTAAACAGGCTGTGTTATGGCCTATCAGGTTTTAGAATGAATTTTTGAGAATCTTAGCTATTTGATTAGATAGTAGTCTTCAGTACTGCTGGCATAATTCTATCCTGAAAAATGTCACAACTGCATGTTGGCAATTATATGGAAGAAGCCTCAAAACAGGAACACCACAAGTATGACATTAGGTTTTATTATGTCAGGTTTAGTTTAACAGTCTTGGCTAGAATAACTCATGTTCTCCGGAATCTGTATGTATATAGCTACATACGGTGTTTTTGAGTCCCACCTGAAGGCAAAAATATTTTAAAACAACTAATTATGTCTGAAGAATGTAGGGGATAAAGTGATGTATACACAAATCATGTATATGTATTTAAATTAATCTGCTATGGTCTGTAATGTAAAGCTGTCCCTGCTAACTTCAGAACAGGGCAGGAAACTCAAGGTTAGTTCACATATCATTAGGATTGTGTTCCTGCTGGTAAACTGATTTACACTGAAATGCTCTAGTATAAAGTAAAACCTAGAACACAAATTTAATGGTCACCTGAAGACTTTCTGTGTGTTCCCTGAATGCCATTCATAAAACCATTTTTGTGCATAGATGATGTTAACATCACTTATAATAACTTTATCTGATGTTTTCCAAAGGAAGGTCCATTTTTTTTCTGGCTTTTCTGGAGCTTTAACCCTTAATATTTCCTCTGTGTGTCTACCATAGACTGTGCATGGAGATGAGGCTAATATTTAAACCATAACAGCTTGCATCTTTCCAAGAATGAGCTGACTAGAAAAAAAAAAAGTATATATTCCTTCGAAGCCTTGGCGGCTTTTCCTTTGAGAAATGTATTTGCTCAGGGCAATGATAAATTTACAGTTTTCAATATAACTTTTGGGTCAGAAATGACAATACTAAACCAAGTTTGATTATGCTGCAGGACTTCAAAATACAACAATTCATAGATGCTCGGTTGTAACATTTTTCTTATTTTAAGCAGCTAATACTCAACAAATCTGCACAACATCTGACAGTTGTAAATTACACAGTATTTTCTCAACTGCAGTTGCAGGTCTGATTTACTGTGGATGGAGTATATTGGACAAATTGAGACTGGAGTTTGTGGAGAGTAGGTGGAGTCGAGTGTTGAACTGCATAGGTCAGGAGCATGGAACTGGATGAAGATAAAAGGCTGGGACAGAAAAAAGGGCATGGCAAGATACCAAAGCTTTCAGTGTGCACATACTTTTCCGGATCAGTCAAATCTCTCTCATACAAACAGTTTTTAACAATCATATTAAAGTATGGGTTTGCAAATTACTTTAATGATGTTCTAATGCAAGTTACATGAAGTTTCAATGACGAAATATGCACAAGATCTCATACCATTTTAACAGTCCTTTTTGGTCACCTAGCTCCCTCAAAATTATGACTGTTCGGCTTGCATGTAACTTGCTAGTGAATGTTGTTGGCCTTTTACAGTCTACCTATTGGGTCACAACGACTGCGACTGCACTTAGTCAAGGTGTCTGTTCACTGCCTGTGAAAACATCTGTTCTGTTTATAAATCTGTGCAGGTATTCATATGTTGTCAAGTACTGACTTCTTAAACTTGCCTTTTTAAGACAAAGACTTTTGTGTACATCTAAAAAAAGTGTGTAGACTAAGCTACTGAATGCTTGTTTCTGCAGCAGTAAGTGCTGGATGTGACCCATATGCATCCTGGCATGTACTAGCCTACGTGTACTTTTCCAAACATTCCCTGCGGCATTCAGTGCACAGAAGCTAGCGATGCTCATTTATGCAATAATTGCTTTTGTTCTTATTGCTGAATATGTCACCTTTCCTGTAGGAAATTAAGAACATTTGACTTACAGCCTTCTAGTTTTTCTTAACAGTGTTTAAGAATGTAGTATCCAGTGCTTCACAAGCTTGACAACAGTAATAATTCATATGTTGTTGCAGTTACCGGGTGCTGGGCGGGTCTTTAGTCAGCCATAGAACTGGTAGCACATAAGAAATCTTTTGCTCTTTACATTTCACCTTAATGAAGAACTGAGCACACTGAGACCTCATGTAACTTTTTTCTTTTCATCCACCAGCTTCAAAATGTTACAATTTCCCTTGCAAAGCATCTATTTCCAAAATTATTTGTCCCAGTTCCCTATGTTAATCTAAGGATTTATGGTAGACTGTTTTAGGTTTGTGTTGGAATTGCGCACCCACATTCTGCTGTTATTTAGGACCCCATCTTGTTTTCTGGGACACTGCAGTCAAATTTGGATCCACTTGGGAAACACTCTGATCTTGAACTGTGGGAAGCACTGGAACTGTGTGACTTAAAGGATTTTGTCCAATCACTCCCCAAGAAGCTCCTTCATGAGATTTCAGAAGGTGGTGAAAATCTCAGGTACGTAAACAAGAAAGTGCTATTGCAGTTATTTTATCAGTATAAAAATGACACTTCTCCCATCATTCTATATTCTATGATTCTGGTAGTTTCTTTGAGATGGCCAACTGGTCACAACTGTATAAAGCCCTATGGCCTGTGCTGTATGGGAAGCAGACTATTTTCAGCTCAAGTATGTGAGTAGGTGTAAAGGAGTTGGGGGGAGAGTGGTAATTCATGCACTACCTGATTAGATTTGTATAGAAAAGTGCTCATTTATTTAAATTTTAAAAAACACAACAAAACAGAACAAAACAAAACAAAAAAACCATCAAACCAAAACCAAAAAACAAACAGAAAAAACAACCCAAACAAACAAACAAAAAAAAACCAAACAAAAAAATCCCTCAAGCTCTCTGCAGCTTTGCCGTCTTTCCAGGTTTATTTGTTTCCTTTATTTTCTTAGGCAAAGCAACTCATTTTTTCCTTATAAAACATTAACCCATAGTTATGTAAGGAGGGTGACACTTGAAGTAAAAGGACTCCCAAGTTCAAGGAGACAAATACTGAAGCTTTTGGCAGCAAAGGGGCAGGTCTTAAATGGAGTGTACTGAGTATCAACTTGAATTTTTTTTGACAGATCATTTTCAGGAGGCAGTTTCCAGAAGGCATACACCGCAGCTAACATATAGAAGTATCCAAACTTTTACACTGAACATTATTAAAAAGTGGTTTAGCATTCAGTCTGGCTTGTTCAGAGTCCCCATTATAATGTGAATATAGACATTGAAGGCAAGACCAGGTTTACGCTACAAAGTTCAGCCACAGGTGTTCGAGTCACACTTTAACTGCTATTGGTATGCTTAGCAAGAAGAAATCAAAACTTCCAAAACAAGGCAAACATATTTCACTAGTCTTTTCAGAAGTATAAAGTAATCTCAGCTTTATGTTGTTCTGCTCTTCCTCAGTGTGCCTGACCTGACCTTCTTAAATGTATTTTTAACAGTGCTGGGCAGAGACAGCTGGTCTGTCTGGCCCGTGCTTTGCTACGAAAGACAAAAATCCTGGTCCTAGATGAGGCGACAGCTTCTGTTGACATGGAAACAGATAACTTAGTGCAGTCCACCATCAAAAGAGAGTTTTACAACTGCACAATATTAACTATAGCCCACAGGTTACATACAGTCATGGACTCGGAGAGGTAAGTAAGTTTTGGTAAGCCATTTTAAAAATAAACGGCTTCCTTTAAATGCATCAGTTTTCAGACTTACTAAATTCTACACTCCAACAATTTTTGCCTTAGTATCTTTGTATCTGTACAATCCAAGCTATCACAAAAGACTTAAGCATCAACGTTAATTAAATATCGATAACCTGTGTTCCGTTTCCCCCTTCTAATTACAGAATTAATTTAATATTTTTCCTGCTAAAGTACAGGTATAAGCTACTATTAAGACCACTTAATTCTCTGGAGTAAGTGGACTATACTGTAGCATTTTTACCAATTAAGCAAAAATGCCATTTTCAAAAGGCTTTTTTTTAATATAGGAGTTCCTCGCTTTAGAAACCAATGAATTACCTAGTGCAATGATATTTCTTCTAAATAAGAGCTCCCATTATCCAGAGATACCTGTATTAGGACTCGAAAATATGGTTGAAGAGCTGATTTTTCTTCTCCTGTAATCTTTCTGCTTTTGCATTGTAGAGTCCTTGTTCTGGACGCAGGAAGGATTCTAGAATATGATACACCACAAAATTTGTTACAACGAAAAGGTGCCTTTTCTGAAATGGTTGCAGAGGCTGGGATAAGAAGATAGAGAAAACTCATGAATGAATTCTTAATGAAGATGAGAATTCCTTACTCCAGTAAACACCCGAGCGATATCTGGCATCCCACATATATATGGAGTATTTTATATTCCGTATAAAATAACCAGCTTACTCAAAAGCTCCTGACAGTGTTGCAGTTTACTACAACTACAATCTGTATATATTGATCAGGTTTCTCAAAATAACTTTCTGATTTTATACAAATCACTTATTTTGATCATATTGGCACTGGGACAACATAATGAAGCAGTAATTTTCATGGAATATTTTAACTGTTGCACTAGTAAAGACTGATTGAAAAATAAATCTTGCTGTTCACACACTGTTTTTAATTAAAAAATAGTACTTAATTAAGTTGCTCTGACATTATGTCCATTTAATTAATACAGTCTTCTTATGATTGCAAATTCATAAAGAACAAAACTACTTATTGTGTGAACATACAGACAGATGTCACTTGGTGCTGATTTTTAGGACGTGCGTATTTGCATGTATACTGAGGCAATTCTTGAGGTAATAAACTCACCACATTAAGTTAATTTTCCTTTTGACCTTGCGATTTCTGAATAACTGAAAAATGATTTAAAATAACTGAAAACCACATCTTATGTATCTCATTGAGCATCACAAAATCACATTGTGAAAGAATCCCAGAGAAATGGAGTCAACTGCAGCTATCTCTTTGCTAGTAGATTTTAATGCAAACCTCAATACTAATTACAGTGGCAGGACAGGTTATGTACATTTACTGAAAGTGTCAGTTAAACATGCCTGTGCTTCTGTAGGCTACGTAAATATTAATTTTCATTTTTATTACAGTCCCTAAAACTCTTCTAATTTAATACCAACTTAATCAATGCAATCTTATCTTCAAAAACTAAGAGAAGGTCCCTATCAAGTGCTTTAAAAAAAAAAAGTAAAAAAAAAGTAAATGAATAAACTTGCAGGCTGCAGCCCTGTTACATTACTTTAATACTGACACCTGGTTAATATCAAGTAGGATCTTAATTTCTTGCCTGAGAGCAAGCAAACTGTATTTGCTGTTTTAGAAAGGTGGTGAGAAGTGATGGAGGCTCTCTGAAGAGAGTTCTTCAAGGATGTGATTGTACTGCAGTGGAGGTGAGCGATTTCTCTGTTCTTTCCTGAAGATAAAAAAGAAAGCCTGTCTTCCTACATACATTACAGAGTACTATCATCTAGTTTAATTGGCTGCAAAACACAACTAAATATACTATCACTTGCACAAAACTATTAGAAGCATATAATGATTTTAGACTAGGAACAACCCTGCCCAAGTAATTATTATCATCTGAAAGTCCTGGAGAGAACAGTGTGAGAGACCGTTTCTCAGGAGAGCAAGCAGCTTTCTGCTTTTCATCTCTGTTTTCTTCTTCCTTCCCCAGGTGAGGCCAACAGTACCTTCCCGACAGAGCAGAACCTTCTCCTACCAACATTTAACTTCCCTGCAACATTCAAAGTGCTTCCCTACCTGCAACTTTTCAAACACATTTGCTCATATTCTGCACGAACTGAGAGCCATTCCCCACATCCATCCTGCAGCTGTTGACCAGCACCAGGAACAGTCTGTTCCTGCCCCCATCCTGTCATCCAGCAGGCAGGGCACAAGGAGCATCAGCATAGGAAGGGTGGGAACTGCTCCCACTCCCAGCAGGAGCAAGGAGTTCATCGTCACCTGCTTTGACCAGGGTTTTGCTCCCTGTTAGTGCTTTCTCCTTCCTGCCAGTCATTCCTTGATTTTCCTCCTACCAACCTGCACTTTTCTTCTCTGTTCCATTCTTCCACCGCAAACTGCAGCTTGACCAGAAAGGGTTTTCCCTTCCCACTTCAGTTCCCAGCACTCCTCTGTGCCATTTTTCCCAGAGGAGATCTGTTGCTCCAGGATATAGCAACCCCTTAACAAGTTGAAGGATTACAACCTTATCCTCTAGCCTCCAAAGAATTTTGAGGAAGACAAGGAAATAGTGCGGTTACAATATTTCCCCAAGAAACTGAAAGAAGGCATGTCCAAGGGACAGGAATTGCTTTTATTAAAAAACATTCTAAAAGGTTATTTATAAAATGCATTTCATCATCTGCACTTGGAAACAATTCAGGAACATACAATTAGTGAGGCATCTTAAACTTTCAGAATTTCAGCTCACCAAACAAGCTTTAGCTGTGTAAGTTTGTTACACACGTAACACCACAGGCAACCATACTCAGATTTAAAGGATTGTTTGCAGAAAGATTTCAGCCTTCAGTGTGTTTAAAAAAAGACTTTTGGTAAGCAATTCATGTGCATACCTAGAAACATCCACTTAGTACAGTGGACTCATCCTTAAAATTCAATGGTTTGTGCCAAAGTACAGTATTAAAAAAAATCAAAAGATACAAAATAAATAACTTGATCACAGAATTCAGAAAAGTTATTTAATAAATAAGGATGCATTGTGAGATATCCAACGTACAGTAACTTCTCTACTAAAAAAAAAATTTGTATAGAAATCTGAATAAATACCCTTTTGTGAATTTTTTTTTTTTTTTTACAAGTAAACAACTCACCCCTCCCTTACAATTCCCAGATTAACACTGAAGGAGATTTAACTGCTCCAGAGTGAAAGAGTATGCGAAAAATTAGTTAATTTATTTGCATTGAGAGTTAAACAGTTTAAAGGTACTCCCCGACTCCTACCCAACTTGTCCCAAAATTGCAGAAAGCTTTTAATGGTTTAACTCTACTGTGATGTGGTTCTATTTTTATACAGGTCTGCTCATTTTACACAGTGCATAAAAAAAAAAAAAAAAGAGTAAAGACCTACTGTAACTCCAGTAGACTTTGAGATGAATTTACAGCAGGGCAGAAAGAAAGGCCACAATGACTCCAAAGACATATGTTGAATTAAATACATTTATATCTGCAAAGCAAAGGCCCCAAATAACAACTGCGCACGAGAACTGTACTGTATAGTGGCATTCATCCATGATTTCACTGAAGAGGCACTTCTTTCAATGGAGGAGTTTTAGTTACTGGAAGTTCCACGCAGAGTTCGACAGAGTCACTTTCAAAGAGGTACAAAGGGGAAAAAAAAAAAAAATCCTCAAAAAAAAAATCACTTTGGTTTTCAACTCCCGGAAATTAAACAGATGTTAGCAGTATTTTGGGAATCCTCTCTGAAGTTGAACAATGCTTACGGAATGGCTGTGTGCAACTATGATTCAATTTAAGAGGTTTTTAATTGGATTACTTCAAAGATACGTTTACACAATAGCTATGCAAACAGCTGAATCAGCACAACTGATTTATGGCAGTGCCATAAATCAGGCCTACTGCCAGGAGAATAACAAGCCTAGTTTAATATAGCAAAGGTTAAATAATAAATCTAAGACCCATAATTTATCTTGGCACACTTAATACAAACAAAATTATTGTGGAAAACACAAGAAAATGCTTAGAACCATCTGTTACTAGAGCTTACCAGATGAAGAGCACATTGATGGAGGTTGAAGCCAGTCTTAGCTGAATGAAGTGCTTTCATTGTAGAAAGTTCTACACAGATAAAAGAACTCAACTGGCCTTTAAGTATTGATTTAACCCTCCAAAGAGAGCAGAACTGTCACCAATTTTTTTTTTTCCCCTCAGATCATTTATTCTTTTTTCCTCCTCATGCATTTGTTAGATAGCTGGGTAGCAAACTATTTGCCTACAATAAAGTCCTAAGAAGTGCCACCTCAAATCCCGAGTTGCACACACTGCCTCCTTCCCAAAAGGACAGCTACAATCTCTGATCTGTGTTCAATTTAGAGTGGGGATACAACAAACTTTAAACCACTGATACGAGCTAAAATGTACAAAATAGTTGGGTAAATCTTCATTTACGAGGACAACAGGACCTACACTTTCTCCCTGAGAACAGCACAGCTTGGGGTACTCCCAAGGAAAAGACCTCACGTACTTGTAGATGCACAACAATGAAATTTGCGTTGGTCAAACTGAAGGGAAGATACACAGGCGTAGCTTTAAGATACATAAAATTACTGCAGTTTTCAAATAAGGCAGGGGGGAGGTATAAATATTTGGCAGTGTGCCCTTGATCTCTGTGGAGAACATGAGTGGTATAACAGCAGCACCTGTATGTTAACCATCAAAACCACATCAGGAAGTAAGCCCTAGGACACGCTAAGAAACTCTACATTAGCAACAGCTTAGTTGTTTTTTTCACATGGTTTGGCTGAAACACAAGATCATTTCCCCTATAGCCTCAGTAATACCATTATGCTGTTATGAACAGCAGAAGAATCAAGTGAATGTGTAAGTCTCATTCAAGTTGCAACATGCCTTTTAGAAAGGTGCTTCAATGCTCAAATGACTCAATTTAATAAATAAATTTAAACTGAACACTGCTAGTGCTATGTGCGTTAACACTGCTTCACATTCTTTCAAAGTAAATATATTGGACCTGGGAATACCTACAGTACCATACCACATTATCTCTAACCTTTGGTCGCGCTCCCTTTATATTTTAAACATACACCTCTTCAGGATTTGCTAATAAAATTTAGCAAGAAAACGTGGGTGTGTCACCACTAGCGTTTTCATCCAATATCCAATCTCCAAGCAAATACAGCACATTTCAGAACTTCAAAAAACCACTCGTACCTTTACAGTAACATCTAGCTTTAAACACAGTTAGGTGTCCAGTAACTGGACTAGGTAAAAAAAATGAATATAATACGGCTAAGATTAGGCTCCACTGCCAGTCAGATAAGTATGCATCATCAGAGTACGCTTTTGGAGAGAAGGAATGCAATGGGGAAGAGTTTCTGTTCAGTTAAAATTAGTCTTCCGTAAATGTTTATTAGGGATTTCTATAGCGCTGACTTGAAGAGGCCAGGACCCACCAACGATTCCTGCCTGGATAGCTACGCCCATTACAACTGCTAGATCAGGATCTACAGAGGTGTTCGGTTCCTTTCCAAAGAAATCCTG